TTGATTAGGTGATGGGAAAGAAAGCAAATAATGAACAGGTTTATTAAAAAAAGTAGAAAGAGTATTCAACCAAAATACTTGTGTGTTATTAGATGAGACTATCAGCCTTCTGCTTTACTCTCTGAATTCTAAAATTGGTTCAACTGTTTTCCTTGTTACCCTGGCCATGACTTCTCTTTCCTGCTTGGTTTTATAGGTACCTTCTATAGATGCCTAGTTTCTGTCTGTGACTCTGTGCCATTTCCTGCATTCTTTGCAGTGCATAGGGAAAGACTGTTCCTTGTGGACTGCAAAAACCTTCTTTTGTGGGAGAATTTATTCTTGGTTGGGTCGCAGCACATGTTGTGAAACCGCCTCAGACATTTGCAACTGCTGAGCCTACAACAACTTATTGCACAACCTACAGGAATGTTTACAGTAGCTTCCTTCAGGGAGACCTGTGAGTATTTCATGGACACGGGATGGTCCCCTTTATGTTCCCAGTGCTTTGCATGCCCAGTGCAGAGAGCCCACAGAGAAGAGCTGAATTCAGTTTTCTTTATAAATTCTAATATTCAACTTTTAAAAAGAGTACTCCATTTAGGAAGATAAGTTACATTAAAAAGTGGGATGTTTTAACTGTACCCCGAAACCTCAGGATGAAGGACTGTCATGGCTTCTGTTTAGATGTCCCCCAAAGCCTCATGCTTTTGCAGAGGTGGCTGAATCTAGAGTGTGTGATGGATTCATGGATGGGCTTGGCCCGAGGGCTCTAAATAGTTTGAGTAAGATAAAGGGGACAGAGAAATGCTGTTAAGGTCTTTCATTGCTTTTGCTGTGTTCTGCTGCCATGAACTATTGCTTCTCTGCCACTCTGCCTTGGAGCCAGCCGATTGTGGACCGAAGTCTCTACGAACTGTAAGCCAAATAAACCTTTCTGCCTTTAACTTTGACTGTTGGGTTATTTGTCTCAGCAATGAGAAAAGTAACACAAACCAGGGCCGTCTGTGGTCTGGAGTGTAGCAGTAAGAAGCCATGGGCACCATCGTTAAGTATCTCCTGCTTTCTCCATTGGACTCTAGTCCATTCTCCCCCTTCTGCCCACTCTGAGATTATCTCCTTGTGCACTGTACCATTTGTAAGGATAGAGTGGCTTTGTCCTGGAGCTCTTACAGATGTTGGATTGAGATAAAAAAGTTTCAAAACTGAGTGGTGACTTGTACTTGCAATCCAGCACTTTGGGAGGCTGAGGCAGGAGTATATAAATTCCAGCACAACCAGGCAACGAAGTGAGCCCTGTCTCAAAAAAAAGGAGAGGACTGAGGGCAGGAGGTGAAAGTGGGAGCTCACAGAAGGAAAGGCCTACACAGGTAGATTTTCATTCAGTTCCCAAGTTTTATAGCAGCAGTTTTGCTACTTCAACCTTAGAAAGCTCCCTGGATAGGTGCGACCTATCCACTTAAAAAAAACCACTGAAGCTGGGGATGTAGCACAGTGGTAACCCTCCTGCATCACAAAGGCAAGGTCCTGAGTTCGTTCCCTGGTAACACACACACACACACACACACACACACACACACACACACACACAAATAAAAATAAAAATAAAAACACCATAAATAGTTTTGGGCTGGGGATTTAGCTCAGTGGTTCCACCACCTGCCTTGCAAGTGCGATGACCGGAGTTCAATCCGGGGTACCCCCACCAAAAAAAAAAAAAAAAAAAAAAAAACGTTGCAGATTCAGCAGATCTCTGCCGCTAGACATTGATGTTCAGCAATTCCTGTCTCTGCACTCTCCTTACTTCCTGTGCCGGGGTCTCTGCAGGTTTCTGGGGAAGGGACATGAGTCAACCCTCGGCCCCTCCTGTCGTGGGAAGCAGGGCTTCATCTGCTGGCCTCTCAGGGTGGCCTGAACTCTGTACTGCTCTGAGGGTTCCAGCCCTGCATGTACCTCTGCTGCTCGGAGCCCTAGCAGGAGCCCTTACTTTGTGTCCTCGCCTTCCTGCATGGTAACCACTGTAAATGCTTTGTGTTTGGTGTCTCCCAACAGGCTGCAATCTTAGCTCCCTTCCACTCCCCTCGTGGTAGGTGATACCCCTTGTCCCACCCCTGGGGGACTCACAGGGCTGCTGCATGGACACCCGAGACACTGTAGATGGACTCCTTTCCCGGTGACTTCTTTTGGTACCTGGACTATAATGAAGACAGAACCCTGGACATTTCTGAACTTCATGAAGGGTTAGAGGATTTAGGGGTTTTTCAATCACTAGAGGAGGAGCGGGTGAGCTTCACTGAGGTTCTAATAAGAGAGATGTTGGGACTGGGAGCCCTGGAGAGGCCTTGGCAGAGGGGTAAAGCCAAGCCTTCACATCCCAAGCTTGACCTGGACCTACTGTAGCGTTCCCATGTCTTACCAATGTTGCTGTTTATTAAGAATGATCTAAGCTATCTTCTCAAGCATTGTTCTCAGTTTTCTCCTTGGCTGTAAGGAAATTTCCAACCTTAGGTATCTCTTCAGTTGTTGGCTACAACTTTGTTTTTGGGGGTGCTCCCATGTCATTAGTAGCCTAGATTGTCCTCCCATCTGGCTTTGGGGGAACTGGATCACTCCATGTGTGTTTGGGAGGTGAGTGGTTGTTAGAGATTCTCCAGTGTTATGGTTTGGTTCTGTTTCTGGAAAGCAGGAGTGAGTGGCTTATAGTCTTAAGGTTTCATTAGTGCTGAGATTTCTTTATATCATGCCTTAATGATCAGACTTTATCAGACTGAGCTGGACCTCCTTTGAGAGCCCTTCTCCTTCCAACAAACTAGATTATGGGCTCATTATTAGTATGTACAAGTTATTTTCCTTTTGGAAATTATTATTGTATACAATTATATATAATTGTATAAATATATGTTATGTATTATATAGAATTATAATTATTGTTTATATATGCCCCTTGGATGTTTGACCTGGTACACTGGGAATCCAAGAGAGAAAGGACTGTTGAACTGACTTCAGGTAATTAGCACTTTGTGCAGAAGAATGTCAGTTGAGATCTATCATGTTATGATTTAGTAAAATTCATCCTATTAGCTGTATGCACTTTGAGAGTTTATTTGAAGCATCCATTGTTGGATGATCTATTGTATTTTGAGCAAATTCCATATGCCAAGCACTGTATCCTTCTTCCCTCATCTTTTCCTGTAGTTTGGATGAGAGTTCATCACAGTTCTCTGTCTAAAAGCTTGGTTCCCAGCCTGCAGTGCTCTTTGGAGATGGGAACCTTTTAGTGGGAGAGCCTAGTTGGAAGTTTTCCAGTCACACAGGAGCATATTCCTTGGAGATACTGGGTCCCTAGTGCATCATCTTCCTCTTTGCTTTACTCCACCACAAGTTCTCCACTGTGCTTTGCTACCTTGCAATAGGCATAAAGGCATAATTGTGAGCCAGACTAACCTTTTTCTCCCTTATTATCTCTGGTATTTTGTCATAGTGATGGAAAGCTGACTAACACATCTGAGATATCACAGACCTGGAGTGTTTGCTATCTGTGGGACAGTTCAGTCCAAAATGTTATCTCTGTAAAGTTCACCAGAGGGCTGTGCTCTCACCATAGGTGATATTATATTTTAGGGAAGCATTGGTGAGATTTCCTCAGATAAAATCACATCTTTATGTGAGGCCTCTTCTCACATATCTTTAGCTTCTCTAGCAGAAACTTCATTCGTAGAGACAGAAATTGTTTTTTTTTTTTAAAGAAAAGAAACATTTATAATGTTAAGATACAAAAGATCTTGTTCTTTTGATAACTAGTAGGTTTTTTTGAATGATATTTTGCTTTGGCTCTTTATTATGAAAAGTGAGAGATGATTGTACAAATTAATAATGGCTGGGCTATAAATAAAAATATAACTTGGACCCACAACCTGCAACAAACTGTCCAAAAACTAGCCCCTTATCTACCTTAAACAGATCAGGAATCCAGCCTGCTGTGTTAGGCTGGCAGGACGTTACATCGCTATCTCTCATGATAATCCAGGAACCTGAGCAGTAACTTCTTTAACAATCAGACTCAAATAACCAAGACTTGATTAATAAATTAAAGACTCCCAAAGTTCGCACTGACAACTGCTCTGAGTTTTGTGTTCACTTCAAATTTAGGACCAATCAAAGCAAGCTGAATGAGCAGGCTCAGCCACATAGAATGTTCCTTTGTAATCAGCATACACTTTCCCCAGGCAAACATCTTCCAGTCTGGGCACATCTAAAACCTCCCTTTCCTGACTACATAGCTACCCAGTATTCGGCCTGCCTCTGAGCCTGTCAGAACACAGGTGATGGTGGCTGACTACCTTGCTATAGTAAATTTTCATGGTAAATAGCCTTTTTTTTTTCTTGTTCGGTTGGTTTTACTTATTTCCACAGAGGAATATACAAAAAAAAAATTCAAAAGAGAAATCTTAGTCTCTCATATTTTTACTAAATTGAAGTCATTTGGTGATAGTAACTCTTTAACATGAGAAAGGTTGTAAAAATATCTATATTTTAAAAAATTAAACTTTTTTTTTTTTGACCAGAGTGATTTTTTAAATTTTTTTTCAGCTTTAATTGAGTTTATTGGTACATTTTAGGGATACAGTACAGTTACATTCATTGAAAAATTAAACTTCTTAAAGATAAGGTTGGGAGATTTTATAATTTCAGGAGTCAAAAAGAAAAACATTATGTTGGATACTTCAATCCTATGCTAAGCCAAGTGTTTGACTTCCATCTTGTGGCTGATAAAATATATATCAAGTACATTTAGGTTGTGATTCATTAAAATTAAAGATGCTGTGTTTTGTAGAAATAATTATTTTTCTAACTGAAACTTCAGCACAAGATCTGGAATTGTTTGCAGTGGAATGATGAATGTATATCTGCCCAAAAAGTAGTCTTATAGGAAAACAGCCAATCTACTTCAAGTATTGTATACAGTCAATTTAGTACTGTTACCCATGTTGACAATAAAATACCTGCACTTTTTTTTGTAGAAAATTTTTACAACTGGAGACGTCAACAAAGATGGGAAGCTGGATTTTGAAGAGTTTATGAAGTACCTTAAAGACCATGAGAAAAAAATGAAATTGGCATTTAAGAGTCTGGACAAAAACAATGACGGTATGTGCTTTTCTTTTATTCATCATCAGCTATGAAGGAGCGCTTCTCACGCTTTTAAGAGTCTAAAATGATGAGTATTTTATCTTGTTTTGTAGATGATAATTATTATTTGTGTTAATATTTATTTGAGAAATTTAATTTTTTTGTGGAGTTCATACTTTTAGAGACGAAAACCTATAAATAACTGTCTACTATAAGAACAATCTTAAAATGTTAACTGTGGAACATTATGCTAATTTGACTTAAAGCTGTGGATTAAAAATAAGTTTGTTTTCTTGTCCTCTCAGAAGAGATATTTATTTTGTTCATCTATAGGCATGTATTGTGTATTCTAACATTTTTTTTTCTAACATTTCTTAAACTTTCAGATTATTTTACATTAGGTAATTTTTTAAATTGCTTTAGAGAAGATATCTTCTGATTTTGAAAATTAGAAAAATAATAGCATGTACATATTTGAGTATATACTTTCTGCTTGGGCTTTTGGCTTCTGTAGAGTAATAGCTTAGAGTTAGAGTCCCAAAGGTCATGGTAGGGGAAATGGAGGAATCATGAAACCCCTGTCTCCAGAGGCAACCTTTGATGGGAAGAGAGAATTTTATTTAAATTATAATAGCCCCAAACCCCTTCCCTACTTGTGAATAGTCAGAGCCATTCCATTTGCAGTCTTGTTATTCAAGAAGCAAGGTGAACAAGTGGGTTGAGAAAAAAATACCTGGTACTCATTTCAGCCAGGACAATATATAAAACGTGGACATGACTGGTTCCAACAAGATTTCATTTACAAAGACATCAGGCTTTATTTGGCTTCAGAATTATAGTTTTTTTAGCCCCTGGTTTATACTGAACTACACTTCAGTTAAATTCAAGCAAGCAAACAAATAGTTAAAACTTTTGGATGCTTTTGGTGATGATTCAGATCTATGACTGTCAGCCAGGAAGAACAGGTTTTACTGTGGGAACTTTTGTGGTTTCTAATAAACTGCATTGTATATTCCCAAATCTAAGGCCAGTTCCATCTTCAAGCAAAATTCACTTCTTTCAATCAACTTTTCTTCCTCCTTGGGAACTTTTTGTCCCAACCTAGACCCTATATGGTTCAGTTGCAGAGAGAAGATAATATAGTTTGGGCAGCAGATAGCTGGGAGATGGACCTAGCCCAGAATGAACTGCTGGATAGTTAGTGGCTAATCATTCCATCATGTAAGTTGTTTATTTCAGAAAATTCTAAGTGAGTCATAGGAAATGAAAATGATAATTTTTTTTTTTTTGGTACCAAGGATTGAACTCGGGACCAAGGATTGAACTCGGGACCTTGTGCTTGCAAGGCAGGCAGCAAAACCAGTGAGCTACATTCCCAGCATAAAGATGAAATTTTAATGAGACCTTTGTAGTAAACATCAACAATGTCCCCATAATTTATTGTTTGTATATTTTTGAAATATTTTATTGTAGGTTTATATCTTTATCAGACTTCCTTAAAGCAAAGCATATACAGTTGATCCCCATTATTTGTAAACTCTGTGCATTTGCTGCTTACTTGCTAAAGTTTAACATTAAAAGTTACCCTAAAATTTATACCCACGGTGTTTTCCCAGTCCTTCATGACTTGCACAAGGCAGCAAAACATCTGTGCAACGTGCAGATTCTTACTTGAGGTAGAATATGGTGACTTTCTGCCTTCTTACTTTAGCTTTCAGAATGTAAACAAACTAGTGTCCTTTTTGAGGTCTATTTCATGCTAGGTTTTTTGTTGCTGTTTTGTTTGCATTTTGTACTTAGTTTGGGGGGGATAACTTTGCTTTTTTAAAATGTTCCCCAAATGGAGGGCTGAAGTGCTGTGTAGTGTTTCTAAATACCAGAAGGCCAAGGTATAGAGAAAATATGTGCATTTGATGAGCTTTTCCAAGTTCAATGTGGGTGAATCAACAGTGTGTATTAAATGAGGTGCCTTTAAATAGATACACACATGAGACAAGTTCACGAATTGATCAGTTGATGAAAATGTGACCGAGGCTTTCAGGGACTTCACTGTGTGTTTCCTGTAAGAGCAGTGGTTCAGATATTGCCAATTAAGTGGTTGCAGTGGCTTTATGAAACATGACTGTTTTGAATCTGAAGTACTGAGTGTAAATCTTTAAGAGTGTGGTTGTAGAGAGGAACATTCAGAATGGTACTTGAAGAATTTCACTGCTGCCCTTGATGTCTCTCACTGTCCTTGTGTTGGCCAGATGCTCATAGTGTTTTCTTTTCCCCAGAAGCTTTCTTTCAGAATCCTATCATTTCTTCAAGGTCCTTTTCCTTTTCTTCCACCCTTAACTAACAGTAATTTTTGTCTTCTTTCCTCGAGAGGCTTGCTGTTAATGCTACTCAGGCAGCGGTCTCCCACTTTGTTTTGTATCATCCTAGATCATGTGGGATGGTCTTGTGAGCTGCTCCAGGGAAATGCAGAATTGTTTACAATCCTTGCTTATACGTTGTTTACCCTCTCTTCCTTCTGCTTCTTCTCCTCTCCACAAATGGGATCTGATTTCCCTAATACTAAAAATTTTTCTCTTCCGTTGCCCTTCTCTCTTTGCTTATTTTTGCTGCTAGCTTTACCGAAGAAGAGCTATGCTCCTTGGCTCCATTTCTTCATTTTCTGCTCCCTTTGATGCAGTCATATAACTTTATTCATAATAAATATCTAATCATTTATTACAATCTAGAAATAGGTACTTTTTAAATGAGTAGATCCTAGGTTAATTGAATTTATTTCAGAGTTAGATTTTGATTTGAATCTGGGCTGTGCTAGTCTTCAGTCTATCAGCCAGTAAGGCTGCTTGAGCTCTTGGCCTCTTCTTCAGAGGAATATCATTACTGTTATGATTACTGAAAGAATGTGTGCGTATTGGCTCGTGTACTTACTAAATTTTGCATATTGATGCTGCAATTTGTAGTTAAGCAAATATATAAATTTTTAAAATGTGTAATTTTGCCTTAATCATGTTGAAGCATTCTGTTAAATGAGAGATTTGAGATTCACATTTTCTGTGGTGCTTTTCAATTCTGAGTTTATGCTGTTTTTATATTTTTAAAGGAAAGATTGACGCTTCAGAAATTGTCCAGTCTCTCCAGATACTGGGTCTAACTATTTCTGAAAAACAAGCAGAGTTGATTCTCCAAAGGTAAGCTCTTCATCTTATTGACAATTATTTTTGAGTTTAATATTCTGCATTAGAGATATGTGTTCATATGTGTGGCTTTAAAATACTCCCTGTACCTCACCATTCCTCATTATGTACACTGATGGTCTCTTTTCCCTTTTATTTGTGTGTGCACATATGTACCAGTAATACAGTAAGTCTCCGACTTACATACATTCCATGCATTCATAGATGTGAACAAACTGTGGAAGTAGCCGGACATTGTCACGGTTGTGCTGTCGTGTGCTCACTGTACAGTGATAGTGCATGGTAGTACAGTCCAATCAGGGCCCAAAATGTCCAGAAGCAAGAGGAAAAGCAGTGGTGATTTGGAGGGCACTGCTAGGAAGTGCAAAGCAATGTAGATTGTATATTTGTATCATAGGTGTATAAGACACACTTTGTCAGACTTAGGAACAAATCCAACTCACGAATGTTCTCCTTACTGTATAGAAATGGGGGCAGGAACCTCAGACTTCTCTTTCTTGCAAAGCCCCAGTGGCAGTGGGGTAGCAGTAAAGAGTTAAATTTAGAAATAAGGATCCAAGGGTTTGGATGTTGCTACCTCCCACCCCTGCTTTGGTTTTAATGTGTCAATAGAACTGGTTTCAAGGTAGAGTCTAGCATATTCTGCAGGTTATTTAACCTACAGGTGACTGGATATGAGGGCAATTCCAAACCTCTGCTGGCTAACAAAGAAATACTGATTTAAATTCATAGAACAAGAGATGCCAGTTTGATTGTCATCGTCCAGGGCAGTCAGGTCAACTTTTAGTGAGTCCGACATTATAAACTGAATGCTTTATTTCACAGAATAGAGCCATAACCTCTGAAGTCCAGGGATTTTTGAAAGGATGATACAATATATTACTATTCTTGCAAATGTTTTCAGCCTTCACATAACTAAAAAAGGTTCTTCTTAATAGCTTCATTGTTAGATTTATCTCCTTTTGTATCTTGTATCTGTATATTCCCTCACAGAAATACTTATTTCTTATGGGAAAATACATTAGCATTTCCTTCCTTTCTATCCTTTCAGACTTTGTTTTATAAGAACCTGTCAAACAGGAAGGTTTAAAATCTCAAGACTGAACGTAGAGTTACTTTTGTTAACACTGGATGAGAAAGGCTTTCCTGAGGAAATGAAAAACTAAAACATGGAAAGAAGATAGAATTTCAACCACGGGATATGGCTATACAAGGTTCTGCTTCTAAAGTCACATTCACCCAGGAAAGTGAGGGTTTTTCTTTTGTTTCTAAGGCGTGTTCCCATATTTCCTTTAGTAGCTTTAGGGATAATGCAAATTGCAAACAAGCTACAGAATAGATGAAGGTGCACTCACTGGCTTAGCTGCTATGTAGCTAGTACTGCTACAGTACTACAAAATACTGTAGACTAATATACACTTCTTAATGACTTCTGGTTCAAAGAGGAAATTATAAATGGAAATTCAAGGATATTTTGACTTGAGAGCATTAAACTTATAATATTTCTAAGGTGGCACTCAGGGAAATTTTATTTATTTATTTTTTTGGTATCAGGGATCAAACGCTAGTCCTTGCGCTTGCAAGGCAGGCAGTGGAACCACTGAGCTAAATCCTCAACCCGGGGGGGGGATTTTATAATCTTAAAACTTTTATTAAAAAAGAATAAGGCTAAAAACTAATGGGCTAATAAATTAGGGGACAGAAACCAAAATAATGTCAAAGAAGATAGAAGGAAGAGATAATAAAGACAGTAGTGGAACTAGATAGCAAAGTTGTAGATAGGATAAAAAAAGCCAAAAGTTGGTTGTTGGAAAAGACAAAGCTCTGGAGAGATCAAGGGAAAAAGAGAAATGAGATGTATGTAAGTGATGTTTGCAAATAGGTGCATTAGAAACACTAAAAAGACTAAATGTTATGTATAGTTTTATGCCAATAAATTTGAAAATATATAAAATCAATGAATTTGTAGAAAAATACAACTTATTAAAGTTATATAAACAAGTAACCAATGGCACCTAAAGAGATTGCATCAATAATTAAAATTTTTCTCATAATAAAACTTTAGCACCAGATAGTTTTAGAAAACTATCAAACAACAGAACTAAAAACATTTCCAAAGTACAGAAATACACCGTCCAATCTTTTCTGTAAGACATCTGTAACCATGATGCCAAAACCAGACAAGTTAATGAAGGCAGGAAATTATAGGTTGATATGACTTACGACATAAATGTAAAAAAATTTTAAAAACATTAACAAATAGAATCAGCTATATATAAAAACCATAATCAACACATTTATAAAATAACAATTTCACTAGATGATATTAAAGAAGTTTCGGTACAGAAAAGATGTGGTTTCTCTCTAAGTTGGTAATAGAGATTTCATACCATTGAAGAGAACTTATGTGCTTTTTTTTTTTTTTTTTTTTTTTGAGGAAACTATCAAATTCAGCCTAAAATTTGTACCAAAGAGCAAAGGTAGAAGAATAACCAAGATGTTTTTTAAAAACCTAAAGAACTAGAATCCTGCCCTCTGAGATGTCAAGAGTTATTATTAAACTGTACTTAGGACAATGGCATTGCTATAGAAATAGACAAATTGACAAATGGAACATAATAGAGATACTGATCCATCAATATTTTGGATTTGTCGGATGAGGGAAGTAGCTTTGCAAATTTCCAGGAACAGGAGAAACCATAATAAATGGTGTTGGGGCACAAAATGGAAATTGGATACCTACTTAATAATACCTTACACAAGCCTAATGTGAAATTTAAATTATATCACTTTTAAGGAGCTGAAAAGAGTGTCTTTATCTCAGAGTAAGAATTTATTTTTAAAACAATACAAAATGTGCCAAAAATGAAAAAAAATCAATAAATTCAGGTGAATTCAAATTAAAGCATTTATAATTGGACACTATAAATGAAGTGAAAAGACACAATTATTTGCCAACTTGTAACTCAAAGGTTTCAAGTCAATTGTATGAAGAACTATGGATAAGTAGAAAACATGTAAGCCATTAAAAATACCCAAAAGACACAAAGTGGCATTTCATACAAGAGGAATAATGAACACCAAATAAATGTGGTAATGGATGCTCAAACACATTAGCACTTTGAGGAGAAATGCAGCTCAAATATATAGTGAGACTACCTTACCCAAGAAGCTTGTTAATATTAAGTGTTCCTTGGCCTTAAACTACAAATTTGAAATTTATTTATTTATTCAATAGATATTTAATCTGTGCCAAGTGCTCTTTTAGATACTTCATTTATATTATTGAGTGAAATAACAAAAATCCTTGCCTTGTGGAAGATGATCATTTGTGGAAGATTAGGAGTTTGGGACAGACAATAAACAACTGAATTAAAAGAGAAAACAGTGGTAAGCACAGAGCTACAGTTACTGCAACCCAGAGTGATGTTATAAAATATCTAAGTATAAAATAATATTTAGAAGATGCAACAACAGTTTAAAGTTGCATTTCATTTACTGCTGTTTTATGCATAGTTTCCACACAAATTGTAGAACAAAATTCAAAGAGACACCAAAATTTATTTTTTCAAAGACATCAACTAATTTAGTATTTTCTTTATGCCAGCTGGTTTAGAATGTAGTTATACTGTAGTGAAAAAGATAGTCAAAATTCTGACACAATTCTTTGTTACTCTCAGGAAAAAAAACCTGATATAAATGGCTTTATTGTCAAAAAGCTTATAAATCAAATAAAAAATTTGATAGATATTTAAGATTATAATATGTTAATTATAAGGTTGAAAACAAGGATTTTTAAGACTTGAAAGGCCTAAGCTTTTTTACAGTCACTACTAATTTTCTTAACTCGGTGGAAATTGGAGAAGGAAACTGAAAACATATTTTGAGTATATTTCAAAATCACATGCAAATGTTACAACAGAGTGTTAAATTATCTTCCTGAACCAGAGTAAGAGAAAATGATTATGAATCCACTCTTTGTTACCTCCCAACATCTTATTGTCCAGTTTTGTATTTTATAGGTGATTGACTTATAGTTTGACGAAGTGTTGAAGGCAGTCTTCAGGGAGCACTGTGTAATTTTTGGGTCTGTTTTTAATCTAGATTGTCAAAGCTATCCAAGAGGGCTATAAAATGCCTGCGGCTATTTCCACCAACCTGTAATCATTAATGGGATATTTATTTATTTATTTTCCCCCTATTAAGTTTACTGGTACATTTAAAGCAAACAGTACAGTTACATTTATCGTTGGGATCTTGTACCTTTATGTGATATGTCTTGGTTCTTATTTTTTTCCCCATACCCCTGCCCTCATGTCACTCCCTTCATGCCTCTCTATTTACAAAGAATGGAATTTTAAAAATTAAATAAAACTATTAAGTTGGAAAAGATGAGGTAATTTTATCAATTTTATGTTTTTTTCTTCAATTGTTTTTTAAAAACTTTCAGCATTGATGCTGATGGGACAATGACAGTGGACTGGAATGAATGGAGGGACTACTTCTTATTTAATCCTGTTACAGATATTGAGGAAATTATCAGATTCTGGAAACATTCTACCGTAAGTGTGCTTCAGTTTTATGTGCTGTTTTGAAGCTGTGCTCCATAGGCATAGTTGTTATGCAAGAACACTATGTTAAAAAAAAAAAAGAACACTATGTAACATTTAGGGGGCAGGGTGCCCAAGTCCCCAGTAGAATCCCGGTAGCTCCTTAATTTGTAGGGTTGTTTTTGTACAGTTAGGCATAGATTTATAGAGTATCTTAAAGGCCTCCAAGACTGAATACGCATAGCTACTCAGAAAACTTGGAAGATGTACAACCTTGGTGATAAGCTCTGCAGCTTTTTTTTTTTTGGTACGGGGGATTGAACTCAGGACCTTGCACTTGGGAGGCAGGTGCGGTGCTGTTGAGCTAAATCTCTGGCCCAGCTCTGCAGCTTTTATTCACACTTAAAAATCCTACCACAAGGAAATCTAAAAGTCATAAACTTTTATTTTTTATAAATTCATATTGCTCAAATGGTCTCAAAACTTCACGGTTGCTAAGGATTTATTACCTTGGCCATTGATGATAAAGCCAAAGATCTCTTCTGAAATGGCTTGTTAGGTTGCCTAGATTTATCTCTGATACAAGGCATATGTAACAATCATTGGGTTAGAAAATCCTTTTGGCTCACTTGATCAGCAGTTTATATTATGAATTCTGTATAACTTCCAAATTTTGATTTAAGTTCATTAATACTCTGCTAACATGTATTTGTGTAAATTGACTTCAATTGTGCGATCTTCTCCTGAAGCCGTGGGGAACTCTCTGAAGGAATTTTTTTTCCTAATAGGTTTGTCTTCACGGATTTCAATACATTTAATATGCACTAAAGCCTAGAGTTCAATTTGCCTCTAGTAACAATGTCTAAGCTTAAACAGAGCATTATTAAATGATTGGTCATTTTCAACTATGACTATAAAATAATACTGCATTAGTAGTTCAATTGACCAGGTAAATTGTTTACTTATGTGAAATTTTGCTTACATGATTCTTATTTTATTTTGGGGATAACAAGATTACAATCCTGTGTCCATTTTACTGGTAGTAAAATGAAAGAGAAGAAAGGATTGTTGCCAAAGAATAGCATAGCTCATTATTGTTGTACTCCCGCCTAAAAAAAATCTTTGATGCCAAAATCTTTTTTTAAAATTTTCTTGCAGTGCTGGGATCAAACCCAGGGCCTGAAGAGAACACTAGGCTAGTGTGGTACCACTCACTGAGCTACATTCCCAGTCTCCAAATAATTTCAATAATAAGGTTGCATTTTTTTTTCCAGCTTTAATTGAGTTTATTGGTACATTTTAGGGATACAGTATAGTTACATTCATTGCTGGGATCATGTACCTCTACATGGCAAGTCTTGATTCTCATTTTTTCCCCTTACCTCTGCCCTCCCTTCACCCCCTCCTCCCCTCCCCATCTACAAACACTTTATTTTCATCTTTTCATTCTCTCACATTTTTTTCTTTTCCCTTTTTACTCTTCCCCTACCCATCCCACCTTCCCTACCCCTTTAGCTCCTTTCTTCCCATTTCTAAATGTCAGTAATCTTATTAGAATCTTATGCAGTGTTGCAGATTATTAACACCAGGGACACTATTCGGTATTTACACATGTGTGACTTATTTATTTCACTTAGGAGTGTTTTTGATGACATCAGATTTATAAAAATTATCTATAGTCGGTCAGTATAAGAGATGAGTTAAGGCATATTCTTGTATATAGTTTTTTAAAAAAAATCCTATTTAAATATTTAATGCATGTATCATGTATAAAGTATAATGTGGCTGTAGTTTTGAGCGGGTATCGTTGAAGAATTACAATTTCTTCAAGATATCATCATCAGTTGGACATGGTTTTCTAGCATTATGAAAATGGCTGTGACTGAAAGGGTTTCACACTGTCTGATAAAAGCTATCCTTTCATGATACCTTAGATGGACAAGAGAAAAAAAATCACTGAATCTAAAAAAATAGAGTTGTACTTACTAGTTTTGAAGATTTATTATTATTGTCAGTTTTAATTTCTCATGAGCTGATACTGGATTATGTTTCACATGAAGACTACTTGTAATCACCTATGTGCTCAAATGGGTTCATTACAAACCCTAAAGGATAAAGTTGGTCTTAACTGTTAAATAATGCATGATTCTTTTCTTTTCTTTTCTTTTCTTTCTTTCTTTCTTTCTTTTTTTTTTTGGTTTTTTCTTTTGAGACAGGGTCTCACTATGTAGTTGAGAGCTGGTCTCGAACTCACAGCGATCCTCCTGCCTCAGCCTCCAGAGTGCTGGGATTACAGGAATGCACCACTATGCCCGGCTCAATGCATGACTCTTCTAAAACAAAACAAAAAATCTAAGCGTGTCTATTTTTCACTGAAGTAATGTGTGATCCATTTTCCCCTTTAACAGGGAATTGACATAGGGGATAGTTTAACTATCCCAGATGAATTTACGGAAGATGAGAAAAAGTCTGGACAGTGGTGGAGGCAGCTTTTGGCGGGTGGTATTGCTGGCGCTGTCTCACGGACAAGCACTGCTCCTTTGGACCGCCTGAAAGTCATGATGCAGGTGAGCCTTATGGTCTGTGTCTGGGTTTTACTTCAATATTCTAAAACACCAGGTGATGTGGTTCACTAAAAAAGGAGCTTTTAAATTTCTCAGTAATAGTCTTTCATGTATATTTTTAAAAATCTGTTTTATTGCTATTAGGTGTTCAATTGAACCTTCAATTGTTGGTACATGTATATAATGAATTTTAAACTTTGGGATTCTGTGACTTTTTTTTCCCCAGTTACTGGGGATTGAACCCAGAGCCTCTGCACCAAGCTATATTCCCAGCCCTTTCTTTAATGTTTTGTTTTGAGATAGGGTCTCACTAATTTGCCCTGGTTGCACCCCAATTTGCTATCCTTCTGCCTCGGCCTCTGTATCAGTTAGGACTTATTAGAGGAAATACATATATATACATGGATGGATTAACAAGTTAGGTTTACAATGGCCGCCTGCAGAGTCAGGGTGGAGGAACGCAGAAAGGTCGTCTGTGCACCAGAGAGCTGGAGTAGCCAGTCAGAAGTTCTGGAGCTCACTGCAGAGTCCGGCACCAGTCTGTATTGGAAGGCTGAAGAGTCTGTGCTGGACGCCTGGAGGAACTAGATGTGGACACCCAAAGGCAATGTGAAGACTGCGAAGCCTGGAGCTCCCCTGAAAAAGCAGAAGGGCAGACTTCCTTCTTCTTTCCTTTTTATTCCATCCAGACCACAAGCATATTGGCTGGTGCCACCCATGCCCAGGTGGGTCTTCCTCTTCAATAAGTCAGTTATCCAGATACACCCAGGGCTGTGCTCCACTAATCCACTAGTTACTTGTTTTTCGAGAAGATACCGTACTTAACTATCACAGCTTCTCAGAGTACTGGAATTACAGGTGTGTACCACCTTGTCCTGTTGACTCCTGAAATACTTAATAAAAGGAAATCTTTGGTCATTATTGTATTTTCCTTCATTTTCACGTAGTTTATCAAAAGTGGGACATTTCTGAAATCTAGAATCTTGGGGTAAGGATGAATTTTTTTTTTTTTTTTTTTGGGTAACGGGGATTGAACTTGGGACCTTGTGCTTGCGAGGTAGGTGGCAGAAAGGATGAAATTTTAAGTTATTCTAAAGATGAGGATAGCAGGAAAAAGACCTAGATTTATAGACTTTCCTACTTCCTTGCAGTGTATCCTTGGGCTGGCCAGAGTGGCAAGAAAGAGGGCAGGAAAATAATATTTTTTTGGTGCACATAATGGTAACTCATTTAATCCTTATAATGGCTCAGCGAAATTAACATTTTATCTTTACTTTATCTACAGGGAGATTGAGGCTCTGAGAATTAAATATTTTCCTTTATAACAACCAAGATGAGGAACAGTGTCTTTACCCACAAAGCTTGTAATTCTTGAGGTCTCATTTTTCTTTATTCTGAAATGGGAGTAAGACTACCAGAAAGAGCGGCTGTAAGAATTAAACATTTAAAGTGTGTGAAAATGCCCGATATACTGGAGTAACCAGTAGCACGTAATTGTTATTTTAAAATGTTTTTGAAAGTTGCACTTGTTAATTGTAGGTTAACACCTTTCATATTTGTTCTTAGATCTTTTTACAGAATGATTTCTGACAGTATTTTATGCTGTGTTCCCAAATCCCACAGTTTATTTAGGGTCAAAGAGAGCTGGAATTGGTTATGTTTTTCTTTAGGAACAATAGCAAACTGACTTGGAGAGAACTTGAATTTATCTTTTCCTTCATCATATTTTATTATGAAGCTAATTTGCTATAATAAGATGGATTTTTTCCAGAACTTTCATTTCTGCAACTTTGGTGGGGGGGTCCCAAAATATTTTCAGGTTTTAAACTGCTAGGACTCAAAGAACTCTCTTGAAGAATGTGTATTTAGCTTATGGTTTATTACAGATAGAGATTAAAATCAGCCAAGTGAAGAAAGAACAAAGGGCCGAGTCCAGGGAAATTGCCACATGCAGAGCTTCTGTTATTCTCTTCCTGTGGAGTCTGGGTGTGTTACTTTCCAGGCATTCTGACAGTAAACACAGAGTATTGCAGATGATACAGGAAAGCTCATCTCAGTCTCTGAATGTTTTTACTGGGGCTTGATCACAAACCAGCCACATGATTGACCTTCAGTCTTTAATCCTTTCCATCTTAAAAAAAAACCAAAACAAAACAAACTAGTGGTAGTCACCATTTTTGTATAACCAGATTTCTTGAATTATTTTTGGTTTATTAATCAGTTTTCATATATAGTCAATCAGAATTTCTAATGTATTTAAATGACAACCACATCTGCAGGATAAACCACGTACTTGATCAATACTCCCTGGGTTAGCCTGTTGGCACATATAGTTATGATGAATATATTGCCTGGAAAGACCTTGAGATATGTCGCTGAGGGCATAGTTTTTCTTTTTGGTGTTAGGTTATGTGTGTTCCCGTGTCTATGGTTGTGATATACGTAATGTCCAAATCATTTTCAGACCTCGGTACGGTTCATACTTGTACTGCTTCTTGGGGGAGGGAATAATATGTTACCTTCAGTATACTTTTTTATTTTTCATGTTTCAAGTGGTATTCCCTAGCCTAATCTTCAATGTGATTCATGTTTTCTTATGAATATTGCTTAAAATTATTTTAATTTTGATCAAGTCTTCCCTGACTGCTTTCCCATGCTGAAGATACTATTCTTAGTTTTATAAGCAGACACAGACCTGTCTCAAAAAGAAAGAAAAAAAAGGTACCAGTAATCCCTCCCATCATTATGTATTTTCTCAAACTTCTATATTTTATTTTTAAATGTATATTTTGGCAGTTATAAGCAATATTGAAAAGCAATTGTATGGTTATTTGAGAGATAATGTCAGTAATAATGCCAGAAGCATTTTATATCATTTTTGCTTTTATTTTTAGGTTCATGGCTCAAAATCAATGAACATATTTGGTGGCTTTCGGCAGATGGTAAAAGAAGGAGGTATCCGTTCCCTTTGGAGAGGAAATGGCACAAATGTCATTAAAATTGCTCCTGAGACAGCTGTTAAGTTCTGGGCATATGAACAGGTAATTATTATCATCTGTGTAAATTATTAACAAAGAGGAGTTAGTAAACTGATTCAATAAAGATTAGCTCACAATGCTTCTGGGATTCTTGTTTTAGTACATGATAATTTTTCACATATTCTCCATGACGAATTTCTCATAGATGATTACACTGGATAAACTCAGCAGTTCCTTATGGCTAAATTCTGGGATTCTCAACTTTATAATATTATTTATAAGGACAGACTTCTGTGTTTTCTAAGGAGCTCTTAAAGGAAGGGTAAGATTTTAGCCTATTTATCTTGGATTCTTAATAGAAGCTGGGCACTAATGTAAGATTTACAGAATTGTTCTAATCTAATCTCTGTAAAGAAAACCTTGGAGATGAAGACCTTTGTATAATTTGACGTGGCTCTAAGAGGAGCTGAGTTTGCAGTGAAGGCTCCTAAAGGTAGGTGCTTGGCTTTTCCATGCCATCCAGCAACAATGCGGAGCCCTCTGTGGGTTACTGCTCAGGGTTTGTTGAATGGGTCAGGGTAAATTAATGCATCCTTCTCCAAAACAGCTTCTCTGTTGCCTTCCACTTAGACCGTTTAAGATATTCTTTCAGCCTAACTTGTTGGTAAGAAGAAATATCTCCTACAGTGGTTACATTTTAGAACTTGGTTTCTTTTCATGGTCATTAGCAGAACTGTCTAGTTGAACATCTGTGAAGTCATTTTGCTGTTATTTATTTCATCATTATTTACCATGGACTATAAAGGTCTTGAAATTTAACTTGACCCCATATTTTTTGTTTTATTTTAAATAGACTTGAGATTATTCTGGAGAATGTTTTGTTCCTGAGCAACAGAACACTCTTGGGGAGATTTCTACCTCTAGTGGTGTCCTTTTCTTGGCTTAGGAAATAGAGAATCAAAGAAGAAAAGTGAAGAATATCTGTCCTCCAGAACTTTACCTAGAACCATTGATGAGACTTGTAGGAGACATTTTAGATCTAATCTGGTATTGTCATAGTTAGCTTGGGCTGCCATAACAAAATACTACTAGTTGTGTGGCTTAAACAGTAGCAATGTATTTCTCATGTTATTCAGGTTGGGAAGTCCAAGATAAAGGGGCCAACCAATTTTCTAAAAATTAATTTTATTGGTACACAATATAGTATACAATATAGTGACATTCATCACTAGAAATTCGCTAATCCATCTTGAGTCTTCTTTTTTCCCCATTCCCCTGCCCTCCCTTTCCTTGCTGTGTGCTTCATTGATCTTTCCTTGGTGCACGTGTGAGTGGTGACTCTGGTGTCTCTTCTTGTAAGGGTGATAACCCTACCATGAGGGCTCCACTCTTTTTAACTCTAATTGCCTCTGAAGGTCCCATCTCCTAACACTACATATTGGGGTTCAGCATATCAATTTTGAAGTGACATAGTTTAGTCCATAGCAGGTATTAACGTGTATTAAAAAACTTATTCATACAGTACAAGAAGTTGCTTACTGAGGAAGGACAAAAGATAGGAACCTTTGAGAGATTTATTTCCGGTTCCATGGCTGGAGCAACTGCACAGACTTTTATTTATCCCATGGAGGTGAGTACTGCTGTGAAGTCCGACTGCTTGTTGGTGTTAGTATTGGCTGTCTACTGTTGTGTAATAAGTAATCCCAAAATGAACAGTTTAAAGCAACAGGCATTTATTATTCCACTGATTCTATGATCTGGGAATCTGGGGCCAGCTTGCCCGGGTTCCTCTCACAATAGGTTTTCTGCAGCTTACTGTCAAGGTGTCAGCCAGAGCTGTGGTCACCTTAGTCTCGGTGGGAGTAGGCGTACCTCCAAGCTCACTCATGTGGCTGTTGTCTGGCCTCACTGGCTTTTGGCTGGAAGCATGGGTTCATTGTTGCATGGCCTTTCTACAGGCTTCACAACATGGTATCTGGTTTTCCAGAAGAGAGAGAGAGAGAGAGAGAGAGAGAGAGAGAGAGGAGAGAGGGCGTGGGGGCGCACTTGCAAGAGGGAAGCATGGACACTCAAGATAGAACGTGCTGTCTCTTGTCACTTCTTTCTTTTCCTTGTCCTTCCCTTCCTTTCTCCCGCCCTCTTCCCTTGTTCCCCTTCCTATTTCCCAATACCTATTCGTCTGTTTTACATTTTAATACTTCTTTCTTGTCACCTGTGCTGTCTCCCACTGGTCTCATAGTCCATCCATGGTAGAGTACAGAAGGGGACCACAAACACCTGTAAATAGGTGGAGACAAAGGTTGCGTTGGGGGCTGGCTTAGTGGCTGGTTGCCATAGTGTTGATGAGAGTTATAACTCGGTTCCCCTCCAAAGAATTTATGTACTAGGAATTTAATAATAGGACCTCAGAATTTGATTATAGGACGGTAGTCCTAACTGGACACTCTACCACAGCACAAGAGTTGGCAGGCAGGCATAGACCTGTGGACAGCTTAGAATAGCCTCAAGCTAAGAATGGTTTTTACATTTTAAAGAAGTAGATAAAATCAAAGCAAAAGAGAAACAACGAATATGCAATAGACACCTGGTATTTTAGACCTATGAAGTCTAAAATATTCACTATCTCTCACTTTACGGAACACATATGCCAACTTCTACTTAGAGCAAAAATAATATTATAGGTGTAAATATCTTTATTGATATAACATTAATGAAGGCTTTTTGGTAACTGATAAGACCTAAGCATGGTATCTTATCTTCACTGTGTTGTGTATGCGTGTCAATATAAATTGTTCATATTATTCCACTCCTCAAACAAGTATCCTAATTCAGTATCTGTTCTTCCTCTTGTCTCCTCCAATGCAATTATAGTGCCGACCTACTTCCTTCACACCCTACACTTCTAGCTCGACACCCTGTAGTTACCCTTTGCGTTACCATTTCGCTCACCTTTCACACCAAGTGGTTTTACTATGATATTGATAGATTGTCTTTTCTCTTCTTCCCCTGTCACTGCTCTCAGACAGATCCTCTTTGCAGTAAGTGGGTTTCCCTAGTTCTGGCCTTAGCCCCTTGGTAGAAGCCATAAGCAACAGAAAACGTACCATCAAATGACAGTTTTTTGAGTGAGAGTACATGCTAGGTATTTTTTCTCCATAAATACTTCTTTTGAATTTTATGGTGCTAGAGTTAATATGAACCATAATATTTTGTTGAATTCTTTCATATCTAGGTTTTGAAAACCAGGCTTGCTGTAGGCAAAACTGGCCAATATTCTGGAATGTATGATTGTGCCAAGAAGATTTTGAAATATGAAGGCTTAGGAGCTTTTTACAAAGGTTATGTTCCCAATTTATTAGGCATCATACCTTATGCGGGCATAGATCTTGCTGTGTATGAGGTGAGTTTATAGCATTGTTTTGAATCTTCAAATGTATTTATATAGCTAGTATTGCTAGAATTTGACTTTAGATAAGAAATAGAAAAAATAGTTTGTGACCAGACTGTGCAAGGATTTTTAAAAAATATTTCTTTTCCAGTGCCTTGAAGGTGAGGTTCCATATACGTGGAATTACATTTGTATTAGATTTCCTTGTGAATTATTTTAGTTAGTGAAGAAAGTAGACTCAAATTCAGATTCAGTGTTCCAGCTTAGAAGATGGGAGATAAGCAAAATGTTGCATTTACTTTGATTTGTTGAAATAGGACAGTGACAAAGCCAACTCACTAGTGGAATTGATCCCTTGTACTAAAGAGACAAAACTCAGAACACAAGCCTTGGGTCAACCTTGCCACATAAGTCATTTCATGGTTTATGAATCTGGCAAACATTTATTGAGTAGACACCATGTACGATCCTTTGAGTTGGATGGTACTAGGTTTCAGTGCCTGCCTATAAGAAACTGAGGGTCTGGTGGAGAGATAGACAAGACAACTAAAGCACAGTGTGGTTAGCTGTGCTGTGATAGCTGGAAAGCAGGCTATGTGTTTGGAGAGGATTCAAGCTAGCGGAGTGGGGGAGGGTGGGTGGGATGGATAATGAAACTGAAACTGTATTAGAGGACTTGCTGCTTTATTTATTCACTGTTTTCTGTATGTTGTGTAGCCTCTATCCCTCCTTTCCTTTTTTGCTTCCTTCTCTTATGTCTTTTTTTTTTTTTTTTTTTTTTTTTTTTTTTTTGTCATGACAGGTTTTGATTCCCTTCTCATTTCCTTTTGTGTATGTTCTATAATATTAGCTTTGTGGTCACTAATGCAATTACATAAAATATGTTAGAGTTATAACAATCTATTGTAAACTGATTACAGCTTAACTTCAATTGTATATGAAACTGCAGTGTCTTAGTCACTTTCTTTGTCACTGGGTCAGAATATCTGATACCTGCAACTCATGGGAGGAAAAGTTCATTTTAGCTCACAGCTTATAGAAGTTTCAGCCTGTAGTCAGCTGGCTCCAGCACAGGACAGCGGGGTAGAAGAGAACTGCTCTCAGGGCACAGCAGACTGGAAGCAGGGAGAGTGAAGGGAGGAACTGGGGGGAGGATAAACCCTTCTGGGCTATGCTCCTAGGGATCTGCCACTCTGACCAGTCCCCACCTCCTACTAGCAAATGAGCTGTAATCCCCCATAATCCAGCCACTTTCCAAAATTCCCCTCCTGTGAGCATGTGTGGCCTTTGGGGGACATCTAGACACAAACCATAACAATTCTAAACCTGACCCCTCTTCTAATTTGTTACTGATGACACAACCTCTTTTTATGTTGTGTATTGATTAACATAGATTTTCAGTTACTTTTAATGTTTTTATTTTCTAACTTTTGTATCAGATTTGAAAGTTATTCATATACCTGCATTATAGTACTATAGGGTTTTATAGTTTTCCATATATTTACTTTTATCGTGGAGATTTATGCTTTTGTATAGTTTTGTGTTGCTTCTTACTGTGCTTTTGTTTGAACTTGAAGGATTTCTTTTAAGGTTCTTGTAGGGCAGGTCCAATGGTAACATATTCTCTTGGGTTTTATTTGTCTGAGAAGCTGTTCATTTTTTCTGGAGGACAGCTTTGCCAATGTAATATTCTTTGTTGGTAGTTTTTCTATTTTACTACTTTGAGTATAATATCCTACTTATCTACTGCATGGTTCTCATTCCCACTCACAGAACAAAACATGAAAACCTCAGAGATTTGGGACAGGGATCTGAACTTCCACGGTTTCTGCAGATAAACTTATAGGATTGAAAAATAAAAACATTTTAATGTTATGTAATTTTCACATATTGGCATATGTTGTTATACTTGAAAATTTTATGTTTAAAGAGTTGACATAGCCAGGTCTCGTAGTACACATCTGTAATCTCAGCCCTTTTGGAGGCTGAGGCAGGAGCATTGCAAGTTCAAGCTCAGCCTGGACAACTTAGAACTTGTCTCCAAATAGGGGCTAGGAATGTGGCTCTGTGTGAGGCTATGGGCTCAATCCTCAGTACTGAAAAAAAAAAGTTAACCATATATTTAATGCGCCTTATCCCTGTTATTGCCTTCTAATGAAACACAAGTATGTAGAGTAATGGGAATCGGCACACCTGGTTCTGAGCTCTTGCTACAAAGCTCTGTTGAGATGAAATTTCATTTCTAAAATCAGAATAAATCCATATTATGAGTTTTAAAAAAGACCAAATGAAGTAAGATGTGTCAAATGAGATGCAATTAGTGCTATAATTATTTTGATACCATAAGAATGTTCTTTATGTCTACAACATTTGGTGTGCTATTGATTTTCATGTTTCTTTAGTAGAAAATGAGTAACTGGTGCAAACCTCTCATGAAAGTAGCTCTCAAGTTAGTGGTTCGTTATTTTTCTTCTTTCTCTGTTCCTTGGGCAGCTCTTGAAGTCCCATTGGCTGGATAATTTTGCAAAGGACTCTGCCAACCCCGGCGTCATGGTGTTGCTAGGATGTGGTGCCTTGTCCAGCACCTGCGGCCAGCTGGCCAGCTACCCCTTGGCTTTGGTGAGGACTCGCATGCAAGCTCAAGGTGAGGTTTTGATTAAAGGGGAGCACTGATGGAAGTTCCGCAGTCCATGTGATTTTGAAACTTCAAGGTCTACTGAAACAGCTGAATGTAGTTTTAAGACACAGTTTTTAAACCATTTTTCATTACTGCCTCCCTCAGCTTTGTTTTTAGGAATTATTTTTCTAATATCTTACTCTTCCTGAAACTGTCATGCCACAGATACCCTGAGTGTAGATGTATGATTTATATATGAATAGAATATGGTTTTCTTTTGGACTTGTTGAATGCATGTTTTTAAGAGTTTAAGCTTTGGAATATAGGTGAATGTGAGTTCAGATCCTTGCCCCTAATCTCTTTGAGGTTTTCATGTTTTGTTCTGTGAGCGGGAATGAAAAGAATTAGCATCAAGGTTTGTATAGCACCTGGTACTTGTTACATTCTTGGTAAACAGTTGCTAGAATTGTTTATCAGTGTTGCTTGGACCCCTTTTGATCTGTGATTCCTGATCATTGACACTGTCCCCTTCACTGGCTTGTATTACAACCTGAGGCTCATTTATTATTCTCTTTGTACTGTTTTTTTGGGGAGGGGCTTTAGTACTATGCTCATCCTATAAAGTATGCATTCTGTGTCTTTCTTTCCCTTTTTCCTTTTCTCCAGGCAGTCTCACATACTGTTGGTTCTTTAAATAATAGACCTTGGGCATCTGTTGCTCCACCCTTAACCTCTTTTCCCAATTCATCCGTCCCTCTTTGGACCAACAAGTCATTCATTAGTTGATAAGTACGTGATCCTTTACTGGGTGATAGACACGGCCAGACACCAGGGTTAGAGCCCTCAACAAGTAGATGTGGCTGCTGACCTCTAGAGCAGAGAAGACCTACATCCAGCAAGTAAACAACCCATGGATCCACCTGCCCTTTGTTAGGGGAGTGCAGAGCGAGAGCTAACCTGACTCCAGCTGGAGACTGGGAAGACAAGTGAGAGTTCGCTGGGCCCAGGTGGGGGCAGCAAAGCATTTCATCTGAGAAAAAGCACTGAAAGGTGGGGCACTGAAAAGGAGCGAAGACTGCACATTGGAGAAGTGGAGAGTTGATCATACGGCTGCAGAGGAAAATGCCAAGTAGTGAACTAAATATTTTATGTGTATTTTCTCATGTAACCATCATAACTATTTTGGGGGCATAGTGTTAATATTGTCTTCACTTTGTAGATGAATAACTGGGGGAAGAGAGATTAAGAAATTTAGTGGATTAATATTTACATTTTTCATCCACTTGGATTTTAATTTAGTGTATGGTGAAAGATAAGGGTCCAGTTTTAATCTGTGGCAGGTTGACATCCAGTTTTTCCAACACCATTTATTAAAAAGGCTATCTTTCCTCCACTGAGGATGGTCAGCTCCTTTGTCAAAGATGAGGTAGCTGAGTACATCTGGGTTTGTTTTTGTGTCTTCCAATCTGTTCCACTGATCCTTAGATCTGCTTCTTTGCCAGTACCATGCTGTTCTTATCACAGTGGCTTTGTAGTATAGTTTCAAATTGGGAATTGTTATACCCTCTGCCGTGTGTCTTTTGCTATTCTAGGTCTCTTATGGTTCCAAATGAATTTTTGGATTCTTTTTTCTAGTTCTGTGAAATATAGTGTTGGAATTTCAATCAGCATTGCATTGAATCTGTATAGCAGTTTTGGTAGTATGGCCATTTTCACTATGTTGATTCTTCCTACCCAGGATCAGGGGATATCTTTCCATTTTTTAATATCCTCTTCAATTTCTTTTTTTCAGAGCGCTGCAGTTTTCAGTGTAGAGGTCTTTGGCTTCTTTTGTTAGATTGATTCCTAGATACTTCATTTTTTGGATGCTATTGTGAAAGGAATTGTTTCCCTAATTTCTCTCTCAGTGAGTCTGTTATTTGTGTACAAATAAGTCTGTACAAATGAGTCTGTTATCTGTGATTTTTGGGTGTTGACCTTGTATCCAGCTACTCTGCTAAAAGTGTCAATTAAGTCTAGAAGTCTTTTGGTAGAGTTTTTTGGGTCTTCAATGTAGAGTATGATATTGTCAGCAAATAATGACAGTTTAACTTCTTCCTTTTGTATCTTTATTTCTTTAATTTTTTTCTCTTGTCTAATTGCTATGGCTAATGTTTCCAGAACTGTATTGAAGAGGAGTGGTGATAATGGGCATCCTTGTCTTGTTCCTGATTTTAACATGAAAATTTTCAGTTTTTGGCTGTTTAATATGATGTTGGCTGTTGGTTTTTCATAGATAGCCTTTATTAAGTTGAGATATAGACCATCTATTCCAATTTTTTGCAGGGTTTTTATCATGAATGGGTGTTGAATTTTGTCAAATGCTTTTTCTGCATCTATTGAAAGGATCGTATGGTTTTTGTCCTTGACTTTGTTAATATAGTGTATTACATTTATTGACTTACGTATGTTGAACCATCCTTGCATCCCTGGAATAAATCCAACTTGGTCAGGATGTATGATCTTCTTGATGATCCTCTGTATTCTGTTTGCTAGTATCTTATTAAGGACTTTTGTATCTATATTCATTAAGGAGATTGCCCTGTAGTTCTCTTTTTTAGTTGCATTATTCCCGGGTTTTGGAATCAAAGTGATACTTGCTTCCAGGAATGAATTTGGAAGGATCACTTCCTTTTCAATTTCATTGAAAAGTTTGAAGAGTAAAGACAGTAGTTCTTCTCTAAATGTCTTATAAAATTCAGCAGTGAATCTATGAGGGCCTGGGCTTTTCTTTGTTGTTAAATTTTTAATTACATTTTCAATTGCACTGAATGTAATTGGGGTGAAAGATCTAAATATTAAAACAGAAACACTAAACTTGCTGGAAGATAAGTTAGGCAGAACTCTGGAAGACATTGGCATAGGAAAAGACTTTATGAACAAATCCTCAGTAGCACGGGAACTAGCAGAAAGAATCAGCAACTGGGATCTCATCTTATTAAAAAGCTTCTGCACTGCAAAAGAAACCATCAACAGAACTAAGACACAACCTACAATGTGGGAAAAAATTTTTACCAGCTGCTCCTCAGACAAAGGACTATTATCTAGAATATATAAAGAACTCAAAACAACCAGCCCCCCCAAATATAAAATTCAAAAATGGGCATCTGAAATGAACAGACATTTCTCAGACAAAGAAGTAAAAGCAGCGAGTAAATATATGAAAAAATGTTCCACATCACTGGTCATTCAAGAGATGTAGATGAAAACAACACTGAGATTTCACCTCACCCCATAAAGAATGGCTGCAATCAAGAAATCAAATAACAAATGTTGGTGGGGTTGTGGGGAGAAAGGAACCCTTCTCCATTGTTGGTGGGAGTGCAGACTGGTGCAACCACTATGGAAATCAATATGGAGATACCTCAAAGAGCTGGGACTGGAGGTTCCATTTGACCCAGCCATCCTTCTGCTGGGTATCTTTCCAAAAGAACTAAAAGAATCATAGCACAGTGATATATGCTCACCTATGTTTATAGTGGTACAGTTTGTAACAGCTAAAACTTGGAAACAGCCCATTTGCCCATCAGTTGGAGACTGGATAAAGAAGATGTGGTTTTTCTATAAAATGGAATATTACTCAGCCATAAAGAATGAGAAAATAGATTCATTCATAGGAAAATGGATACATATTGAGGATATACTCCTAAGTGAAATAAATGTCACACATGTGTAAATACTGAATAGTTTCTCTGGTGTGAATAAACTGTAATAGTACATAAAATTCTAATGAGATAACTGACATTATGAAATGGGAAGCAAGGGGCTAAAGGCGTAGGGAAGGTGGGATGGGTAGGGGAAGGGTAATAAGGGAAAAGAAAAAATGTGAGAAAATGAAAAGATGGAAATAAAGTGTTTGTAAATGGAGAGGGGAGGAGGGGTTGAAGGGAGTGCAGGGACAAGGGGAAAAAATGAGAACCAAGACCTGTCATGTAGAGGTACAAGATCCCAACAATGAATGTAACTGTACTGTATCCCTAAAATTTACCAATAAATTCAATTATTTAATAAAAAAAAGAAATTTAATGGAGATAGAATTCAAACCCAGGCAGTCTGATTCAACTGTTGCCTAGCAGAGCCTCCCCACTCCTGCCAACTCCAGTCCAGGTCTTTGCATGGTTGCCATATTTGCCATTTCTGAAGTCAAGTTCTGACCATTTTCCACCTGTTCCGCCATCTTTGTAACTCTTGTGTCTCAGAGTAAATTCCAGTTCTAAATGGGAGTTCTGAAGCCATTAGTAATCTGGCCCCACCTATATTTTTTCATCTTTACTTCTTCACCCTACTTTCCTCATGTCCAGCAGCTTGGCACCACTCTGCACACCTTGGCTTTCTGTAGTAACAGCCATGACTGACAGCCAGCGCTGTGTTCCCGCCCTTGTCTTTGTTGTGCCAGTAACACAGACTTTCATTTCTCCTTTTCTTCCCTGTTGAGATACTTTTCAAGGCTAAGATTCTGTAAACTTTCCAAACCTTCTCCTTCTTCTACTTTGCAGAATTTATTCTCTCTTCACTGCTTGGCGAATGAGGGAGGAAGAGTTGGCAGAGGTGCGATAGAAAGTATATTGCTTTACAGCCAATCAATCATATGTTTTCAGCTTTACCATTTGCTAGCTCCATACTGTAGGACATACTGCTCCATCTTTCTAAGTCCTTAATTTCCTATTTATAAAATGACTGTATTTACCTTGTAGTGTTAGCATGGAAGATAACCCAGTATCTAGCACACAGTAATGATTCAACAAAGTACTATTATAGTACTATCGTCATTTTTATAGTCAAGGTGCTTACCATTATTTGCTATATAAAGAGAATTATATACAAATTTATTTTCTTGGGCCTGTTGAAATAATTTCATCTTTTCACAGTATTCTAGATATCATCATGAATCCTGATTATTTATGGTAATAATAATGAAACATGCTTTGATAATATCAGCTTGGTTCTTTTTTTAAAATTTTCTAGCCATGGTAGAAGGAGCCCCACAGCTCAATATGGTTGGCCTCTTCCGACGAATAATTTCCAAAGAAGGAATACCAGGGCTTTACAGAGGCATCACCCCCAACTTCATGAAGGTGCTCCCTGCTGTAGGCATCAGTTACGTGGTGTATGAAAATATGAAGCAAACTTTAGGAGTGATTCAGAAATGATGCTGAAGTTTTTGCTTCAGAATGACTATTGAAATTTTCAACAATCTTGAATGACTCCTAGAATTGTGACATGTTTATGGCAAAAGAAACTCTCTACTTTTTTCCCCTACAAAATGGAAGAGCATATCATCAATCACTTCAAATATCTGGGCTCAATTTTATGTATAAAAAAATCATGATTGAAATAGATTTTGAAAAAGCTACACAGTTGTACTTTATCTTTTCTGATTTGTCCTTCTGCAGATTTGTGCCCTGAATCCTCACCAGAAATGTGTTTCCTTGAACTAAATTTGCTTTGTGTAGTATAAAAAATAAATAAAGGAATTGTTGTCTTTAAAAATGGTCAGAAGACATTGAGACTTGTTTTATATACTTTGAGTGCCTTTGTAGACTTAAAAATTATACTTACAGAGCCACTAATAGAAAATCACTGTATATAAAATATATTTTACAGTAGCTAAATAAGTGTAGGGTTTATATCCTTAGGTTTCTTCAAGTGGATTAGGAATAAACAAGTGTCAGAATTTATAATGAAGGTCAATAAAATAATTTATTTCAGTGAGCACTTTTCTATCTTGCTTGCATTGTTATTTGGTTCCTAAGATTATATACTGATTGTCATATTTACTGTTAAATTATCAACATGGGGTAGCTTATTTGAGAGAGTCTCTTTATTCTATTTTTGCTTTGAAAAGCAGTAGGGAATAAAACCCCTTTACTTGCATCAGTTTCTGAAGAGCATCCCTCTGTTTGCCCTTTGTTTCCTACTATTTGAATCAGATTCTGTTTTAATCAGGAAGGCTTCTTGGAACCATTCTTAGTAAGCTTTTTAATGACCCAAAGTGGATTGAGTATGAGTAAATGTTACATGCTCATTTTTACTGCTGCTGAAGTTTTTTGAATCTGCTACTTTCAATCGGGTAGCACAAAGCTAAGAGAACAGTGCATATGGATAGTCGTGCGTGCTAATCCTATACGTTAGACACTGACAGGTAAATGAAAGCCCTCATTTGTAAACATATCCATCCATATTTTAACTTGTCTCAAATTTTGGGAACATGTTAGAAAATTATAACATTTAAAAATTTTTACTAAAACCATTTTTGTAGTCCACCATCTTGCCTAATTTGTGATTGAACTTAGAAAATAGTTATTAATCGAGAGTATTCTTAACACTTCTTAATCTCATTTGGCTTCTAATACTATCTGGTGTAAACTGTAACATTTTTGTGAAAATCCAGTGACATAATAGACATTTATTTTATTTGAACCTACCTCTTCTGTTTTGGGAACCAAAAAGAAAAAACGGACTTGTGTTTGCAAAACATATTCTAAAATATAGTTTCATTTATATTACTTATGCCTCATGAAAGTCTCAGTATTTTTATGCTACATATGATAATCACAGGACTGTATCTTCAGGGTTATTTGCACTTTTGAGTAATACAGAAAACACTGTTTTTTACTAAAAAACATAAAAGAATGAACTACTACCATTTATGAAATTCCTACTGGTGAAATATATGAAAACATGCATAGTTCATTATGAATTTAAGTTATTGCTTGTTGAACATTTGTAAGGTATGAATGTGATTTGTTTGTGTTTCTTGTATCTTTTTAAAAAAATGATCTTGTGTCTTTTAGAAAAATGCCCTGAGTAGAAGATTGCTTGTTTCAGGCATTTCTGCATATTACTTTCTGTTTTATATTAAAAATACGGTTATTTTTAACATGACTTGTTTGCTGATTTTTAAAACAATGTATAAGTAAAGCAAAAATTATATCATGCAGCTTACATCATTGCAGTTATTTGAATAGTGCTGTTCACATCAGGCTCCCTACAGTCTTTCTAAATATTTCAGCCTTTCCTGAGCAGCTGGAGCAGTTGTTGTGTGTATCACACATTTTGGCAAAAGTGGTACCATTTGGTGTTGTGCCAATGACCTGAGGTCTTGGGCCCTCTAGGCATCCAGTCACGGTCCTCGTCAGTCACTGTCAAGGGGCCCTTGGTTCCAGCAGCTGCTACACGCTTGGCATGGGAGCAGCTGGGAAAAGGTGCCCAGGCTTCAGCCTTTCTGGAAGAGCGAGGAATTGAATGGCACTTACTGCGCCCCTGCTCTTGGCTCATCCCTTTCCCTCTTTGACCTTAAGAGCACCCTCTGCAGTTTGCTGTAGGCCTCCTAGCATCTGTTCTGCAGGCAACTTAGGTGTTTCCAGAGACAGATGTGGCTTTAACTGAAAGCGATTTCTATTTTCTGCTCTTAAAAACCACAAAGGGAAGGAAATGCTTAAGGCTTTCCTGACATGAGACGAAAGGAAAAATAAGGGGAATAAATGCAGATTAGTATTTCACGAGGTTCTCTTGGTATAGGCTCTCAAACTGCCTTGCATCTTGGGAGGAAGTCTCAAGTGCCATAGGCAGTGGGTTCTGCGCGTGGAAGGATTGTTCGGTTCATTTTAACCTGAACAGCAGATCATTCCACCTACCGACTCCCAAGTTTCCAAAGCTTCACTGCTACACGGCAATGCAGCTTTATGGCCAGACACTCAGTAAACAGTGTCCTGGTTGAAAAGTAAACTATATAACAGTGTTGAGAGTTTTCAAGAGCACGGGGAGGAGATAGGCCGCTTAGGAGAAGGGGAAAGTTAGCTGTAACATGGAAAAGAATAATTCAAACGATCCAAGTTCTGAATCCTAGCTGGTGTGATGATTTGCCCATTTTGGAATGGTCCCCCTCATCCTCTTTTTTCATCCCATCCCTGAATTCTTGTCCTGGCTCTGTTTCTGAGAGAATCCAAACCATGGCTGTCCACACAGAGAGGTCTGGAAATACAAAATAATAATTTCATTTACAGAACAGCTAACAGCTACAAGTAGAGAGCAACACTAGAGGTCGGGAGGAGTGGGACAAAGGATTATGTCTTCAAATATGTGCCGGACATATGTTACTTCATTATCAGTTCAAAGTTATTAAAGGCCTCAGGCCAATTGGAATAATGCAACAAATGCAGTCAGAAAGAGCACAGACGAAGCTGATTAGCCTGGGCCGTAGCGCCCACCACTTGATTTTGCCTGAGTATGTCAATCATGTCCAAAAGACACTGCAAACTAAGGTGGGCGACTGCATGGATCTGGACAGATGTGAGCTATTCTCTGTACAGAAAATTGAAGAAGTTCAGTATCTTTCCCACCTTGTACTTTCACTGTTGTACAAGAAAAAGCACTCAGAATATATCGATGATCACTGTAGAAATGAGGAGGGGTTTGTTAGATGGAACACTTAGTGCTTTATGCAGTGCCCCTTCATGAAGATACACCTTCCATACAGCACTACTGCAAAAACTCATTAATAGAAGGCAACGTCTGTGTCTTGGCCTTAAATGTAGGTGGTTACTGAATATTTTCTAGCCATCCACCCTGACTTCAGTGGAAGCTATGGCTCATGACTAAAACCTCTCTGGTTATAGGTGCACATTTTAAAATTGTATTAGTTGGAACCCAGAAACATATGTAGGGGATGTCATGTGGTGTTTCCTAAGTGTGTAGAAGCCTTTGACTCCCACGAGGCCCTGACATCACACTACGAGTAACTGTCAGAGACTCAATCGAACACTAGGTGGCAGACTTCTCCCGGCTAGTTCTGCGGACTTCAATTATCTGGACGGGGATGTAACGCTTTGCAGCTTTGCTTTCTCCCTTTGCCTTGACCTGGAAAATCACTGGGCTTCCTTCTAGTCCAAATTTAGATTTCCTGCACAGACCATCGTTACCTTGTTTAGAGGAGTGAAATTCGGGTCAGCCTGTTACCATTCCAGGAGAGAAGGTGACAAAGAAGGACCTTTTCTGTAGCACTGAAGAGAAAGCCTTGTTACTTTTTCAAATATAGAAAAATTCCATATTTTACAAGGCAAATTAGAAAGCACAGAAAGAACGAGTATCACTGTTCATACAGAATCATAGGTAAATTTCGGATATGAAAACCTGTAACTGTAGAAAACTTAGGGTACTTGTTTTCATACTGCGATGAATATATTTTCATTTGCTTAAAATAATTCGAGAAGTATGTCACAATTTATGTTTGTAGTACAAGGGTAGTGAAATAAGAGAAAAATAAAAATAAGTAATAAAAGGCACCACAAATTTAGTTTTCTCCATTGCCTTTTAGGGATTTTATTTTCTCATTTGGTACAAGAGCTGTTTTTGTTGATTTGTGGGCACTCTGGTTGAAATGTTTTAAAAGTCAAATTTGGGTTTCAGATTAATAGACGTTTGCTTGGTTTAATCGGGAATAACAAGCATCAGAGGAAAAAATTTAATAGGACAAGCAGGTAATTCAGTCTGTATTTTTGGATTAATCTGGAATATCCTTTAGGTACAAGGAACAAGTAGAATAGGAATTTCAGTAAGAGAAAAATAGAAATTAGGATGTGGAAGAGAATGTTGGGTTCTGAAGTCAAGCAGACCACCCCCACTTGATCTAACAGCTGTCAAGTTCTGATGGCAGAAATTAAAGAAGCCTCACCTCCTTCACCGCTTTCACTTCCTCCTTCCTCTCACCCACCACTCATGCACTGTTTTCAGCTACCATTTTTTTTTTTACCTCCCAAGTGTCTCTTTCTCCTGGTCTGATAACTTGCCAGTAAAGCACTGCCAAGTGGTCACGCCCGTAAAAATGCCAGTCTGAATACCTTTGGGGAAAAAAAATGCTAGGAAATATAAAAAGAAAGCCAAGGTGATAAAACTGGCCTTGTTAAGCTGTTAAACTGTCAACCCTGCCAGAAATTGATATGTTTTCTATTTCATTTCTTTTCAGTTCCTTTCCTCCAAATTCTCAGAAAAAATTCTGTGCTTGAAAAAGAAACACAGACCAATAAACTCAATGAGAAAAGAAAGAAAGGAAGAAAGGAAGAAAGAAAAGAGCTAGAGCTTAGATCTAGTGATTTTTTTGGGGGCCCATTTTTAGGTATTGGTAAGATATTCTTACTAAATGATCAGTATATAAAGCTATTAAGAGATTTTTATTAAAACAGCAAATCAAAGATTATAAAAGATCAAAAGGATAAAGCGCTTTCAAAGACACTGGGGTAAATTTATTTAGCTTCTCAGTTTTAATTATGTTTATTTTAATATTTGCGACATTGTTTTTACTATATGACACCAAAATGTACTTTGTATTTAAATACCAATACTAATGATTTTCACTATTTTTTTTTTTCATTTTTAAAGCTCTAACACCGCCCCTCCACATCTGACTGTAATGAAAGTAGCTACAAAAGTCTCCACTCATTGCTCAAACAATGGAATCAGAATTTCTGAGGTGGGACACGGGCACCTGTATTTTTTAAGGTCCCCCCAGGTGATTCCAATGTGTAGGCAGGGTAAGAACTACCGCAAACTGATTTCATTCTGACCACAATAAATACAAATAATGTCTTCAGTAGCTGGGGTTAAAGAACTATAAATGAAAGTCAGTATTTCAATGCCCTCCTAAGTAGTGGAGTAGTGATTAGATATGGGATTAAACATTGAGTCAAGGAAGCTCTAAATTTTTGACTCCCCCAAATGAAAGGATAAATTTGCCTTTTAGCCCAGGTGGGAAGACAGCACGAATAAATGACAAGGTGGAAGAAGTGGGAAGATGGAGGATTGAGTTTTTTTTTTAACCTGTTCCTAAGTATCAAAGTACATCAATTTATTCTGAATAGAATTTAAAGAATCACAGATTTTAAAAACAAAAGTAGCCAATTCTCTTTCATTTCAAAAATAACTATCATCGCAAAGTAACATGTAAACAAACCTCTACACTGCTCAATGAATTCTTTCCAAGGATTGAGTTTTGTACAGATGAAATTTCTATTCATGAAATACCCACGTCAAAAACAGTTGTGGGATTTCAGGAACAGGTCTAGGCTAGACATACACAGTTGAGCGTCCAGGCATCTAGAGGTTATCTAAAGTTACAAGGTCAGAAAATCGTCTAAGAAGTGGATGAAGACCATTCCTCTAGCAGGAGGTTCAAGAGAGGATGAGGAAACAGCCAAGGTTGTGAGAAGGAGCAGTTGGCGATGTTACCGGACTTTGGGGTGCTGGAGTCTCCAGTTGGAGGTGATTTTTAGGTTTTTGTCCTGAACAAAGAATCAGTGAAACAAGCATAAATGGTGATAAAGTTTTACATTTATTAAAGGTAGGAAAAAACACTCTGTAGAGCGAGTTCGGGCCAAGTACACGTAGGAAAAAAGGAGAGAGAGAGAAAAAAACACCCTACGGTGTGATGCCGTGAGGACACACGGGCTATGGTCTCCATTTTATAGTTCCACACCGGCATCACGTCCAGGTCATCCTATCAAAAACCTGCTCGAGTTCTCGCGAGAAGTCCACAGGCGGGTTTTTTTGGTGCGTGGTCTGCGCATGTGTCATGTCCTTTCTCAGCGGTTTTAGCCGCTTCCTGCTTTCCTACCTCAGGGAGGTCAGTGGTCGCCTGAGGTGAACTGGGACAGAGAACCTACCCTTCCTTGTATCTTTTTCTTTCACTCCAGAGAAAGAAGAGGACAAAAAGAAGTAGGTGACACTTGCTGCTTTCACACAATTAATTTTCTCGAGCAGTGCTAATGTCCATAGTGTAAGCACAGAGGGCAGATAGCTTGATTTGCCCTGCGTTAAACTGGGCGCTGAAATGCATAG